ATGGAACCATTGATAAGTCTCATGTGTTTACAAAGAACAAATTGCACCAGACAAATTCAATTGCTTTGTTTGATCAAGGTACAAAACCGCTAGAAGTAGGAAATAAAGCAATTGTAATCTTTCTAGACTGTTGTAAAGCATTTGATGCAGTGACCCACAGATTTTTTGTTTTGCCTAAAATATTAAATCACATTGTCTTGGTTATGACTACTGTCTCATTGGCTGAAGTATAGTACACAAAGGTAAAGACAATCAGCAATGTTCCTATGAAGGTGACTCCGATTGGTACTGGGTCTGGATTTATTTAGCATGTTGATTGAAGATCTGGAAGAAGGGATAAACAGCACATTAATTAAATTTGCACACGAAACCAAATTGGGAGGTGTTGCACACAGTGAGGACAGAGAAATAATGAAAAAGTTATCAATGTGGACAGGATAAACAATTATAGTCAACCTGGAGAAGTGCTGGCTAATGCATTTGGGGGAGGAATCTTTTGAAACAGACAATCAATAGCAGTAATACTTGGAAAAGGAATAATGACAAAAAAGGCCTAAAGTGATAATGGAGATCAAATTATATTCGACATTAATGTTTAATGTGGTAATTAAAAAATGCAAGTTTGATCTGCATGGGCGGTGACATCCCACCTTAATTCAGGAGACACAAGTTGCTTATGGCACTGATCAGATAGCCTTTAAAATCCCACATTTCTAAACACCTCAGTATTAGTGAGGATTGGACCTCAAAATATTTTCCATTACCTAAGCACCCACAAATTTGAATGCTGACCACTACCACCAAGAGAAAGTGAAAGATCCACCCATCTCTTTGTTGTAGCCTTACCATAATGCTCATACACAGATGCACTATGCCAAAACCAACCAGACAAACACTCTTACTTGTCCTCAGGATAAGATAGAGAGGGGGGGAAAAAAATAGATGCTGTGCTTCACCATTCCTGCTTCTTCCTGGGCAGGAGGGGAGAAGAAAAAAATCGGATCCTTTTATAGATTGTGAGCCTAGCGTTTTTATAAGTGTACAATTCCTTCACACACCATCATGATGACCGAGTTACAAATACTGATATATTATATATAGGAATGTTATCTGAATTCTTGCTTCTGTAAAATAGCTCATGAGAACAGGCTTTCTTGTGTGAGATCAGTTATTCACTGTTTCTGATCAGGTCAGTAATATCACAGGAATACCGTAATCACTTCTCTTTTAGGCTTGAAATATTAAGTACCCTGCAGATATAGATTCTCTGTCTCTAAATTTGTTGAAATGAAGTATTGAATATAATCTCTGGAGTAACTGATGAGCAACCACAGCTCCCTTACATATTAAGCAGCTATATTGACCCTTGTATACCAACATGTTATTGGTGGAATTATTATTTGAATTATGGTACTGCAGGCGTCTGACGAAGTGGGTATTCACCCACGAAAGCTTATGCTCCAATACATCTGTTAGTCTATAAGGTGCCACAGGACTCTTTGTTGCTTGGTACTGCCTAAGGCTCCAATCAAGACTGGGGCTCCATTGTACTAGGCACTGCTAGAAACACATAGTAAGGAACAGTCCCTGTCCCATCGAGCTTAACAATCTAAATAGATAAGACAGATAAAAGATGAGAAGAGAGCAGGAGATGACTTGCCCAGGGTCACACAGCAGGTCAGTAGCAGAGCTAAAATAGAATCTAGGTCTCCAGATTCGCATACTAGGGCCCTATCCATTGGTTCATACTGCCTTTCCTAATGTAAAAGGCACAAAACGGACATTAACAATCTAGAACATCAGTTCAGTTGTAAACACTTCTTGGAGAACATGTCGCCTAAGACCACACCAAACCTCAACAGCACTGGGGAAAAGTCTAATGACTCAATTATCACTTTAAGAAACCCAAAGCTATGTTCAGATGCGTGATTGCTCATTATCCTTTCCAAAGCAGACCCTGTGACGTGCTATATATTGAGGAAAGGTTTCAAAGATCATTGTCAAACACTTCATTGCACCATTCATCCAAAACATGAATTTCTTGGTACACTTTGATAGAAATTAGAGCTGATCAGAAATTTTTCAATGTTTCTTTTGATTTCTCAAAACTGAAACTTTTTCAGAAATGTAGCTGTTCTGAATAAATATTCCTCAGGTCTAGGATGGAATTTCTGGTGAGAGACCCATCCCAGAATAGACAATAGCACTCATCTGTGATGTCAGGGAACCAGGTTCAAATATTTGCTGGGCCTGATTTGAAGTAGAGACTTGAACGGGAGTCACCAACATCCCAAGCGAGTGTCCTAACCGCTAGGCTCTTAGCTACTCTAGTGTGAGAGGGTCTCTCTCTGGTTTTCACAAATTTTTTTGGAAGTTCTTAGTTTCATGACCAAAGCTGTTTAGGGTAATCCATTGAACTATCATTTATATTCACTACTACGATCCTGTTCTTCCAACACATTAAGAAGCCACCACACCCATAGGTAATTTGTTCCAATTCTTAATTACCATCATTGTAAAAAAACATATGCCTTATTTCCAGTGTGAATGGCTTTCAGCCATTGGATCTTGTCCTTGTCTGCTAGATTAAAGATCTCTCTACTATTAGAAATCTTCGCCTTATTCATATTGTTATAGATCACAATCAAGTGTCCTTTTAATTTTCTTTTTGTTTAAGTTAAATAGACTGAGCTTCTTTAGTCTCTCACTGTAAGGCAGGTTTTCCAGACCTCAAATCATTTTTGTAGCTCTATTCTGACCTTTTTCAAATTCGTCAACACCATTTTTAAGTTGTGGACAATGCAAATGGAGTCAGTATTCTAGTAATGGTTTCACTAATATCATATATGATAGTATTAACAGCTCTCTACTCCTAATAAATATTTACTTCTTATAATCCAATGATCATATTTGGTCTGTTAGCCACAACATCACACTGTGATCTCATGTTCAGATGATTATTCACTGTTTTCTTAAAAGCTGTCTTCAAAAGTTAAGGACTGTTATGAAGAATTGTTCTCCATATCTTCTGTAGGTCGGACAAGAAGTAACAGGCTTAATCTGCATCAAGGGAGATTTTGGTTAGATGTCAGGAACAACTTTCTAACTAAAAGAGTAGTTAAGCTCTGAAGGAAGCTAAGCTCTGGATGCCAATGGAGGTTGTGGCACAGCCATCTTTGAAGGTTTTTAAGAACAGGGTGGCATCAGTGGCACGTGCACTCCCTGTTCAGGGAGGTTGCCCCCCTGCCCCGCCTCTTCTGACTGAGGATCTGCCCCGTTCTGCCCCTTCTGACCAAGGTTCTGCCCCCCACTCTGCCCCTGCCATCCTTCCCGCTCTTGCCGTCTGGCCTGTCAGCGCAGCCCCTAATACCAGCTGGAGCCCAGAGAAGCCCCAAGCCCTGGCAGGCTCGCCAGTGCCTGGAGCAGCCAAGAACCCCAGCCAGCCCGCCGGTGCCCAGAGGAGTCCTATGCCCTGGCCAGGCAGCCGGGGCTGAGCCCTGAGCCTGGGCCACCCAGAGGAGCTCTGAGTCCCACCGGGGCTGTGACAGGGAACATTAGCAGAGGTTTGGGGAGGCTTACCCTCACCCAGCCTCCATTATCCGCCGCCCATGCAGGGTGGACAAACATCAGGGATGGTCAAGGTTTATTTGGTCCAGTGCAGGGGATTGGGTTTGATGACTTCTCAAGGTCCCTTTCAGCTCTACATTTCTATGAAAATACAGTTCCCCCCACCTTCTATATGTGTGACCTACAGTCTTGGCTTCTATATGTATCATGGTCATTTAGCTGTATCAATATGCATGTTCAAATTTAAGGGAGCCCAGCTTACCATGTGATCCAGAACTCTCTTTGTATACTCAAGTGAGAGGGAATTACGGCTCTAGATCTATGTGTGACAGTAGACAGCAAAATGTGCAAAGGCACCACAAACCGAGAATTTATGTTTGAAGATACCGTTTGTTAAGCTATTGGTTGAACATTGACTGTGTCCTAGGAGAAAATATATATGAAAACCTCCTCCCAGAGCCAGATCTGTAACTCAAATCTGCTGAGATATACAGGCATCAAGGAGACAATTGTCAGTCCTGTAAATATTTAGTTAATAAGGACCTATTCTACCACCTTTATGATGAAGCCCCAATACTATTCCATTGATATCAATGGCATCACTCAATGTGGGTGAGGATGGCAGAAATGAGTCATAGATGAACAAAAGCTTTACTTTGGGGGTGTTTAATCAAAATAGATTTTATGTTTTAAGGAAATTCTAATTTCAATTAGATAGGAACTTGAGTCAGTTATTTCTTCAAATTAAAGGCCTGCTCCTCTGGGGGTCTGATGATTCCGTTCGGAGGAAGCCAAGGGCATCAGGAGCTGGAAAGAGGGTGTTAAATAAGCATTAGTTGCATTTAACAATTAAAGTATGTTTACCAGTGCAGACATAATAAAATTAATAGTGAAATTAATAAACAGTCTCTCCCCAGTTACGTATATTACTTAAAGCAAGATGGTATATTTTAAAATAAGTTTTTACTAATATCAGAAAAAGACTTCAAATTCTTTTATTTTTTGGGAGATCTTCAGAACTAGTACCAATTAGGATAGCATCTTAATACAGTGTGAATTCTGAAATGCATGTATTTTAATAACCTGGTGCTCAGCAGAGCAATTACCTGAAAGATCTTGTTATAAACATCAACTGAAATAAACAAGTAACTGAAATCAACTATATGGTATCACTGAAGAAAATCTATTGACTAACTGTTTAAGGGGCTCACTAATAGGTCTACCAAAAATGAGAAGAAACAAATAGAGGCATTTATATTTTATCTCTCTAGGGGACCTCTGAAGTGCCACCTGAATTAACTACACATTTATGATCAGATTATAAAGTGTGTGGGAACGACATACTCAGTTTTTTCTAATAAGAGAGAGATTTGACATAGCCTTTTATGACTCTGCTACTAATTACATATTTCCAATTTTTTCTCCCTTTTTAGTACCAAGTGCAATGCCTCAGAATGTCTCCTTGGAAGTGGTTAATTCAAGGGTAAGTCTGCAATATGTTCACCATCTCATTGTCAGAGTTCAAATATATATTTGGTACATCTTGTATATACATGCCCTGTTTATGTGTAGATTTTACATAAGAGAAAATGTTCTAAAATCCACACAATGCTTTGTTTTATTCATCTCTTTATCCTTCCTTATTAGTTGAACTGACCATTTCAAATCCCTGTTTCTCTTTTGTGACAGTCATTTTGGTGGGCAATATATTTCTTTCCTTTCCACAGGCCAAAGTGTCCACCTGAGCTGGTTTAATTAAGACAACAACCTTCTTACAGTAACAGTCTAGATGAGAATGTGTATTAATTGCTGATGAATGAGACTTTGTAATCTTGTTGTCGATTCTAACAAACAAAGAGAGAATTTCTCCTTCCAATGCTTTTAATGAGGCATCATTCTTGTAGCACTTGATTTTACAGTCTGGAATTTGACACAGTGCTGACTCTCCTGCATACAAAAGAGTTTCCCTATCACTAGAAAAGGAGTTCAGTTTGCGCTGGAAGCCACGAAAAGTTCTGTCCTCCTGAAGAACGTGACTTAGTCTCTCTCCTCAAAGCATATAATGAAACTCCTTATTTACAAATAGTACTCGCTGTATCACAAAACAAGTTTCACAACAATCCTGTGACTTAGATGTTGTTCACATTTTACAGCTGGGTGAACTGAGGCACAGAGAGGCTAGAAGACATGACCAATAAATCCGTAGCAAAGTGGGGAATAAATCCTAGACTTCTTTACAATCGAGTCTTCTGCCTTTAGAGTTAATGTGTTTAAGAATGTGCTTCATTGTTAGCACTTTGTAAGTGCTAAGTATTATTGTTATTACTCTGTAAATCTCAAAGCTTTTAACAAAGTAGGGCAATTGTTAATATTTTACAGACAAGGAAACTGTTAAGTGATTTGCCAAGGGCCATTCATCAGAACTGCCTAATTCCCTGTCTTATGCTCTGTTTGTTCTATCTCAACAAACAAAAACACATAGTTGACACTCATTTAAAAAAAATTGAAAATGTAAATAGCTATTTATTATTGTCTCCTTAGCTTTTCAATACACAGTTAATTTTTTCTGTGATGTACATCTGTTTATGGTTTGCCAGTAGAATGTGTGGATGCAAAGAGGGCATACATATTTAACACCTGTGATCACAAATTTGGGCTAGATTTTTGCCAGTGGGAAACAGACAGTGTAGCTCTAACTTCATTAGAGCTATACCAGTTTGTACCAGCTGAAAATGTGGATCACATAGTGTAATTGTGTGTGTACAAGAGCTACCAGAATTCGTAAGTACCTGTTTTTCACATAAGAAAATGCATGCTTTGAGTTCAATTCTGTTCTCCTTGAAGTCAGTGGAAAAACATGTGTTGACGTCATTGGTCTAGCAATGCCTTTGTGCACAATTACCCCTTTGCACATACACATACATACTTTCTGGACACAAATATTTCTGTACATAAGACAGTGGTCCTTGAAAATTAGCAAATTGAAAAAACATGTTCCAATTCAGTCATAAGCAACCAATTTTAGCTAAGCTAGTTTATCTGAATGATTGCTTCTGTGATAGAGACATCTAAACTGCTGAAAGCAGTGTAAAGGTTTTTGGACAAATGTGCTAGAAATAAAAATAATTTAAAAAATCATTGTGTGTGATGAGGCATATAGGACCCACACTGGCAAGGAGGAGGTTAATGAGGACCTGTGGACCCAAGTAGCCCTGCCCTGCTACACCTGCAGCAGATGTCAGGTGTGGAGATAGGAATTAAAATGAGAAGAGCAAGTTGAATTGGGGGCTGCCCAGGAAGGAGAGCAGAGCTCTGCTTCTCTCTCTAGGAGAGAAGTCTGGTTACAGCCAGGAGACTGAGACAGCTTGCTGTAGTACAAGCCTCCTGGTGGATGGAATGACCGGGCCCTGAGAGACTGACCAAAGGACTGGTTGTTTGAAGCCAGGACTTAAATAGGGTAGGGTCCTGCCAAAGACTCTTTGGATGACCCTATTTTGGTTTCTTGGTTTGTCTTTTATTTGTGGATATTAATACTCTGGAAGGGGTGGGGACTGAAGAATGCATTAGCCAGAGGGTCTATACACCACTGCATTGGACATCACGAAAGGTGGCACCTGACCCATGGCACCTGGTGGTCCATGAGGGGGCGTACGGTGGAGGTGAGCGCTGTCACAGTGTGCAATACCAATATCTGGTTGTAAATGTAAGTAAGCATTCTATTCTGAATAGATTCTTGTACTACTCTTATTACCATAGTATCTGAGTACTTTCCACTAGTGCAGTAAGTGATGAGTCTAACATCTGTCATGTGAGGTTCATTTCTTTTTCATACCCCCACAGGGAAATTGTGTGTATAGTCTAGTGCTTTGGCAGTTGTTTTCATCTCTTAAATAAATATTAGGGCTGTCAAGCAATTAACAAAATTAATAAAAAATTAATCACGATTAATTAAAAACTAAAAATAATATACACTTTTATTTCAATTACAACACAGAATATATATGAAAATGTAGAAAAAATCCAAAATGTTTAATAATTTTTTATTGGTATTCTATTGTTTAACAGTGTGATTTAAACTGTGATTAATCGCAATTAGTTTTTTAATTGTGATTAATTTTTTTGAGTTAATAGTGTGAGTTAACTGTGATTGATCGACAGCCCTAATAAATATGTATTATCTGCTGATCTGTTGATTGTATTAGAAAAGCAGGTCAAAGAAGTGTGTCTTGCACTTTGAGCAGAGGGGTGTGATGTTTGTGATGGTTCTAAGTTCCTGTTGGAGTTTGTTCCACAGTTTGGAAACAGCCTTTCAGAAAAACTCTGTCACCTGAACAGATGAGTTTTGTCCTAATGGTATGAAATTCCACTGTGCATGAGGAGCCAGAGCTGGTCAAAAATTTGCCAGCAGAACAGTTTCCCATCAAAAAAATACTGATCAGATAAAATTGAAACATTTAATGGGAACATTGATTTTTGTCTATTTTTTTCTGGGAATTATCAAAATGTTTAATTTTAATAAAATCTAAATGTTTTGCATTGGTAAGGTTGACTTGGATTTTATTGTTTCAACTTTTACATTATATGAAAATAACACAGATGTCAAAATAATAAAGTGAAAATGGAACTTTTCCATCTTATTGAATTCAAATATTTGGATAAGGTCAAAATGAAATAATGGAATATTTGGAATAGTTTGTTCCATGAAAAATTTTGACATTTCACCTTTACTAAGTGGTTGGAGATGATACCCATTTTGAAATCATGGACAGAAATTCAGGACAGAAATTCAGAATTTCAACCATCTCCTAATGGGCGTTCTTTAATCTTATCTTTTCAATGTGGACATGAGATGATAGCACATATTAGACTGACTTAAATTTAACCTTCAGGAAATGAATGGATCTTTACACAAGCATTAATACCAGCTGATGCCAACCACTTATTATCTCATAAAAACAATCACTGTACATGCTCCAATAGAAATCACAATAAGAAGCCATGCTAGTTTACTAAGACAAAGCAGACCCACAGGCAGTGAATAAAATCACTGATCAATTTTACAAAACCCAGCTCTTGCTCAGATATATTAAGGTTGTCAATTGAAAAGTTGTAACTGAGCAACAGAGTTAATCCAATGCAGAAAAAAAATGGTGGAGGCAAGGGGAGAAAACGATCTGTAAAACATCTTAAGTAGTGATTTTTTTCATTCGAGATTCAGCCAACAGCACTGTTAGTGCAGCAGAGGTGAACAATTGAAAGGTAATCCCAAATCATAAATGACCATCAAAGGAAACAATCACTTAGAAGACAGAGAGGCAACCGTTGGGAAAAACTCTCATCAGAAAATTATGTTCAACACAGATGGCTTCCACTGTTTCTATGTCCTGTGTAGGACTATTTCCATCTTGCTAATTTTATGAATATTGTTGCCATCTTTTCCTCCACAATGGCACAAATGTCAATTAAATCCAAGAGATCACTAAGGGCTAATCTACATGGCCAGTTACTGTGCAACAGCTTGCCACACAGTAACTTGCTGTGTAGGCAAGCCTTTAGGGTTTGTCTATACTTCACTCAGAGGTGTGATTGCAGCATGTGTAGACATACCTGAGCTCGCTTTGCTCTAGCTAGCTCAATTAAAAATAGCATCAAAGCTATTTTGGTCACATGAGTTCATACCCAGGGTCCCTTGTGGGCTTATAAAGCCTGTGCTGCTACCCCTCGTTGCCGTGACTTCACTTACATTGTTGTTGTTCGAGCTAGTTAGATCAAAGCTAGCTTAGATATATGTGTGCTGCAGTCACACCTCTGATTGCAGTGTAGTCATACCCTTTGTTGAAGTTGGTTAATAGTGTCTCCTTCATTTGATATTTTATATGTTTGGTATTAATTCTGTTAACATTTTATTATGTTAGCAATGTACTATTTTATTATGCTGTGTGTTTGAGAGGTTCTTTTCCCCTGTTTTATTGGAGCAACATAATTTTTTCTTTGGTAACTCATTGCAATAGGAAGTCCATTTAGACCCTCAAGTTGACACTTCAGGGCATTAAAAGAAATGTACACACATACTTTATCAGTTTCAGCAGCCATCAGACATAATGGAAAAGTGTCCATCTGTGAAATCTGTATTTACAGGTAGTCTCGTAGAACATGCCCTTCAGACATTTCCTTTTGCACCACTGACACTTAAGCAACAAGTTAAATCAAAAGCTCATTACAAAAGATGAACTTACTATTTGGAAACACGTCTACAATCTCATGTCAATTATGAACTTAAATTTCACTCATGCTGATCTCCGTTTTCCATCTCTTGTTTTCTTGAATGCAAATGTGTATTTTTAAAAAGTGCTACCCTCTACTTTTTAAACCCTCCTACATGTAGTACCCAAGGGCAATGGTGTATAGAAATATCTCATTCCAAATCTTTGTGTGTATCTTTGACTTATTCTCAAGACACATATGTCACAGAGCAGCTGGTAA